ATATATTTTGCTATACTTGTTTCGTACTATTTTGAATTTATTTAAGTGTAGGGACTTCATCTAATACACAATTGAAACACAATCAAACCTCCAAGCCAAATTGAAGTAACCATAATGAATTTTGAAAATATAAATGGACCCCCCACACTCATTAGGCCTTCTGCTCAACTTGAACTGCTAGGCTGATGCCCAGTAAGAGTTTGTTTGGAATTGATACTTCAGATATGGACAAACCATCTCTTGTAAATTATTTCAATCTTTTTGGAACTTTTGTACATGGTGGATGGTTCATCCATGTAGAGGTTTCTCCCATGACGTTCAGCTTCATCACGAGAGGTAAGTGTTATACGTTTAGAAGAATCTTGATGTCATCCCTTTAGGATTCATTCCTCTTCTCTGAGACGTCCACGCTTTCCTATATGGTAGATAGTTCATCCATGTAGGGGCTTCTTTCATGACTTTCAACTTCATCATGTGAGGCATTTACCGACACCTTAGAGAATCTTGAAGTCATCCCATTTGGGATTCGACCACTTTTTCAATGCGCCTAAACTTCCTTATATGTTGGATAGTTCATCCATTTAGGGACTTCTTTCATTACGTTCAGCTTCATCATGGAAAGCATGTGTTGTACGCTTTGGATAACTCTTGAGGTCATTTCCTTTGGGATCCAAGCTCCTTTTTCGATGCACCAACGCTTCTTACATGATGGATGGTTCATCCATGTACAAGTTTCTCCCATGATTTTTAGCTTTGTCATGGGAGACATGTGTTGTATGCTTCAGAGAACTCTTGAGGTCATCCCCCGACCCTCTTTTTCAAAGCTCTCACGCTTCTCCACATGGTGGATATTCATCCACATAGAGGCTTCTCCTATGACGTTCAGCTTCGTCATGGGAAGTATATGATTTGAGAGCCTTTGAATGGAATGTACTTCTATTAAATCACTAGAAATTTTTACATGGACTTGGAAAAATATTCAGTTATTCAGTTAGTTCATTGGTAGTATATTTTGATGTGCTCTATGCTCTACATATGAGGTTGTGCTTTTCTACCTAGGTTTTCTATTTTGTAAGTGTCGAGTTAGGTCACATCTCTTCCTTGATGCGATATAGCCTTCCCAGTCAGGACCCAATGTACCCACTTGTGGTTTTTTGATGAAAATGAAGGCTCTTCAAAGCACTAGCTCATTTATGTGGAAAGACCTCTTCTTAACCCTTGTATTGTAATAACGACCATCTTCCTCTAATAGGTAACCAATTTAATTTCTCCTTTCATTGAGGAAATTGAGCTCATATCTTTCCAACTCGTCGTTGGATATTTCATTGAAGTGCAACCGACAGGGAGAAGGTGACACAACCTCCACCAGACTCACAGCCTCGGTGCCATAGGCTATAGAGAATGGGGTTTCCAGTAGTGGTTTGTCTTGGGGTCCAGATGGCCCATAGTACTATAGGTAACTCGTCGACTCATGCTCCCTTGGAGGCATCAAGCTTCATTTTCAAGGTGTATTTTATGGTTTTGTTAACGGTCTCTACCTGACCATTCACTTAGGGTGGTGAGGTAAAGAAAAGTGCTTTTTGATTCTCAATTCCTCGCACAGATCTCTGACTTTTTTGTTGTGAAACAGTTGCCTATTGTCTAATACAATGGAATGGAGAATTTTGAATCAGCATATAATATTCTTCCCAAATATTTTGGAAGTGTTGGAATTCTGTAATTTTAGCTAAAGGTTCACTTTCAACCCATTTAGTGTAGTAGTCGATGGTGATGATAGCAAAAATTGCACTACCCTACGCCTACCCTTGGGTAGGGGCCTATGAGATCAATTTCTTATATGGAAAACAACCACGGGCTGGATGTTACGGTGAGCTCCTAGTACTACACCAAAAAAGGGCTTTTGCAGCGGCCAAAAAATACTGCAAAAGACCTTTTGCAGCGTT